TATATATATATATATATATATATATATATATATATATATATATATATATATATATATATAGCAGCCATGTTTACTGGTAAACACATTTGCCTTCACACTCTGTGCAAACCACTTTCTGTTGAACATTCTGTAGAACCTTTTGAATCGCTGTCTGATGAACTTTATTGTTTTACAGCTTCTCATATACAGTCTTTTCTTATGTAGTTTTCCACATGCACCATGTCTTGATTTAGAACAGCTCTATCAGGTTGTACTATCTGAGAAACCTTGAAGAATCTCTTTTTGAGTACTACATCTAGTTCCTTCTGGCAAAGCTCTTACTTCAATATTAGTACTTCAATATTTCGCTCTGTTTCATTCATTAGAGAGGGAATATAAGGAGCGTTATAAATCATCCCAATCAGTACTTTAATATTTCGCTCTGTTTCATTTATTTGGTTTGCATGGTTATTTTGCCCGACTAATTTTCCTCATCCTTCCGCATATCATCAGATTAACTCAAAAGACTGATTATCTACAAACTACGGTATATGTTCCTATGAACTGATCTTTTTGAGCTGGTGCGGAGCTGGCATAGTCATCATTGTTGTTGTCGTTGTCGTTTCTTGTTGTTGTTTTTCAATGGCGGATGTTAGGACGCCTTCACCTCCTTCAGAGCCGCGCTGTTGCGAGTGGGACTCCCACTCGGAACAGTATAGTCAGATTGTTAACATTGTATTGTTACTACTTCCATAAACAGTTAAAAGCTAAACGTGAGATTGTACTGTGACAACATGAAATTATCCAGCGTGGCCAACTCATACAAGGTCGAACACTTTACTTCGAGCTTGTAATTATTCGGTCCCGAAGACTGATTCGAAGACCTGTATTCCACTAACCAACTAATACGTCTTCAATGGAGCTCAAATACTTGGAGCTTCCAGATTGTATGTTTCTTTTAAAGATCATACATTTTAGATAAATTGAGATTTTGATAACTCAAAGGGTCGTGAAGCTGTTATGTGATTAAAAATTATGGAATGTACGTCAAAATATAGAAACAGAAGCACTTATTGTCAACCCTAGGCACCAAATAGCTGTTGCAATACAAACGTTTAATTCATCCCTTTCACTATCTCGGCCATTTTTGAGTGGCTAGTCCATCGGACAGTATGTCATTGGAGCGCACTAGAGGTGCGCATTGATATCAAGATGTACGGTCGTGAAAGGGTTAACACACTTCGAGCAAACTCGCAGTTAACATACTCGCACAGGCTTAGGAGAAGTATAATTGATGGGTTTACGTATACTACTCATGCTGAAGACTTTCTGGAGTTTGACATAAGTAGGGTGTCGCACTACTCTCCAATATCGAAATGGCTTTTCACTTTTTTGACTACAAAATGGCTTTTCGCCAATAACGACATGTATTGCATGCACACACATATGCCAAATTTGTATACGAATGTTAGAGGCTATGATGGAAAAGAATAGTGGTACAGGAAGTGTTTGAGAAGTGAAGCCGCAATGCACACGCGTAACTTGCATGAAAGCCGGTTATGTGACCCAACGACATCATAAAAGACGGGGCATCCATATCACTCCGCTATGAAAATGTGTACACTTAGACCAGGGTACTGCTGCCGTCAATGCCCATCACCAGTGGAGACGTCGCCTCTCCACTGCAGTCAGTCGAAGAAGCAGAGTAGCCCGCGAAGTGTCATAAGACTATTCGTTTTGTACATAGATAGAAAACAGAAAAAGAACCATCGTACAGAGAGTTATTCCACAGCTATCTATCATGTACTCAGGCAGGTCCATCCAGAACCCACAATTATCTCAAAGGCGACGCAGAAACTCTCACAAAGTTGAACTCGCTACATTTTAATGCATACACCGAACCGAACGGGTCTCTTTGGAGTTACAATAATAATCAGTTTATTTTTGTTCCTAGTGAATAAAGTTCGTTTTTCAAGAACGACCTTTTAACTCGGCATTGATCAATTATTCACCGTTTTTCTTCATAACGAAAGGCGAGGTGGTTATTAGAGCGTTTAATAGCTTGACCTTGCGCTTTCAAAACCTCAGCATACAAAACTTGACTAATGAATTTTTAAACAAAAAATGCTGTAATGACAACCTCAGGTTTTCACATCAAGGAGAAAAAAGTGGGTTTCAGTTTCCTGCGCCTTTACTGACTTGCCATAATCAATGGGTTCTTTGGATACACCTGATACAAGGGAAACAATCTAGTTTGGCTTTTGTGATAAATCTAGGCTGTATTCGAATCAATATCATTGGCTTTATATGACACTTCAGATTCGAAAATTTCCATGCTCCTCGACACGATAGATGAGTTCTATATGAATAAGGAAAATCCGGTCAGAACTCCTATAAATGGAAAAGAATGCTGAGCCCACCACTAGGACGTTGACATCACTGCTATAGAGCGCTGTGAATTCTATGGTAGAAATCATACACACACTCGAATCTCGAAGGTACATACGTGTCATTAAAGGTTATCGACTTCGTTTCACTCTCCAACGAAGAGATGAGCCCCACTAGGGCAATGTCATCACTAGTATAGAGCGCGTTGAATTCTACGGTACAAAGTGTACCACATTATTGTTTTCGAAAGTATATCCGTGTCACTAGTAGTAATTGGTGCCATTCCACTCTCCGACGTTCTTTAGTCGATGAAATGACTTTAAAGCTCCCGAGATCGACTTTCTATTATAACCCCGGCATTGGATTATAAAGGCGTCGTTTTCTTGTTGAGCAATCGCGAGATTGCTATACAGCATGCGTTTACATCCATAAAAAAAACACACAGACAACACAACAGTAGCTGACTGATCCTCCAAATACAGCGCATAAAATGTTCCTCCGCCGCAAACTTCTTCATTCTGGCAAACAACTCGTTCTGCTTGCTTCGCAATGCCGCTCTAGCTCTACTCTGGTTGACGGCACATCTCGTGATATCGCTTTCGTTTCATGAACTTCAGAGTCCTGAGAGAGCTGGGCTGGAGCGTCCCTTATTGGATCGCAGAGAGTGATTTTTTACCAGACAAGTCCGTTACTAATTTCCCGACGCCGGAGGGCTGAGGGCTGAGAGACTTGGTTGGCTCGGAGTGGAATCGAACTAGCACCATACAGCGAAATGAGAAAACTTTTCGGTGGACGAGTCTCAATATGAAATCAGTGTTCGAAAAGCTATCCAATAACTACAAAAAGTTACAAAAAAGCTCTGCGCGACTAAACAGACTAACAACAAAGTGCGCATTGAAATCAAGATGTGCGGTCAGAAACGTACAGCAGTTTACTCATTGAAATCAATGCGTCCACGTGCATGGTCGTGGAAGGGTTCAAAAAAAAACGACAGCGCAACAGTGAAAAATAAGCGTCGTAGAGGGTGTTGATTGGCACGGCACAGAAGAGGCGTGGACGAGTTTAGCTCACTCAGTAGCCGACGAAAGAATGCTCGCCTGCGATTCCGGTGGACACTTCACAATGCGAAGGTTCGTTATCGGGTGGGCGTAGTGGTGCGATTTTCCGCTGCTTTTCATCGCGATTATTTGGTATCTAATTGTTCACTCACTTAGCACTGCTCACTTAGGGAGACGTGAGTCAGCATCTTGGTGCTGGTTCGTTTGGAGCCCCGGGGGCCGTCGGGGAGGGCTGTGTGGATTCAGGAGGTCCGAAGTCACTAAATGCTGTGGCCTAGTTTGATTGCCCATCTCCAGCACCAAATGCGCGACAGGCCGCCGCTGCTACGACTGCGTCTAGTGGTTCTCCAGCCATCAGTGGTTCTGCTCCTGGTGGTCCTCCTGATGGTCCGTTGTTGGCTGCTGCAAGACTTAACGATTATGATGCTGCAATAAAGTGAGTAGCTGAACATTTTATTACATTTCTTTAATCTTTCGACGTATTTTTGTGCAGGTTTAAGCCAGTAAGGTTAACTCTACCGCTATTGGCTATTTGTTTTCAAACGCAGTTCCAAATTGTTCCTTGTTTTTCGGTAGGGAAGAGTGGTCCTTTATTGCAGTCGTGATTTTTCGGGTAGAAATGATTTGTATTTAATGCATTTGGAGACGTGTGTCGTCAAAAACATCAGATCGACAGTTCAGGCTGGCTTATCTCAATTTACGATTTAGTGAACCGTTCCGTTCCCTGAACTCCCGAAGAGCAACTGAGAGTTGTCCACATCATGGAGCCATCTCTTGTACACATGGCGACTTCTCTACAATTACCTTGCCAGTACGTGAACTTCCAAGCCATGCAAAGGCGATTTTTGAATACATTTTTGCTTTAGCCTTCTGAAATCTCTGGCGTTTCTCAAAAACATACTTCATTGAAATCAATTTTCATTCATAATTCAGTAGTTTTTGAGAGCTAAATTTTCTTGCTTAGCTCATTAATTCTGTTGACATTGGTTCCTAGTGAACGTAGAAAATAAGGGATTTTTAAGTGACGGATTTAACGAAGGAATTACCATAGGTTGTTTTTATAGTCGTATGTTGAATTTGGCTGTATAGCATCACTGTGATCTTGGTACTTTTGCGGTACTGGGATTTTCCTCATAATTTTTATCATTTCGTCGTCTCCTTGCCGTATTGTCATCATTGCAGCATGTGCTACATTACCAGCTTGTGGTTGAGGGTTGGTTCACTTGAATATGGAGGGTTCTCGTGGTAAACCTTAAAGTAGGTTTTCTGTGAGGGTGTCATATAAGCTGGTAGTTCGTATTTGTGGTCACGAAATTTGGAGTGTCACATGCTCAAGAAGCGGTAACCGATAAAATAAAAGAAGATAAAGCTGTCAGCGTTGATCAATCCCTGAAAGATGCGCTATGCATTCAACTTCACTAAGCATCGTTTGGAAGTCATTGAATGCATATCTTGCCTTTACAATGACTCGCGGTGCCTATCGATGTATCAAGTTAATGCTGCTATCCTTCCAGACAAGTTTGGTACCAATTTGCTAACCCCGGAAAGATGGAGGGCTTTCTGAGCATGGGGGTGGGTATAGATCTTATGTATGTATTGCTGGGCACCTCCAACCACTACATTATACGAGCCCTCTAATTAGCAATATGTTTTATTTAATGAATGGCATGAGCAGAGCATTCGTTATCGTCTTGTTGGGATTCCGGTTAAGGTGATACTTTCATCACTGGGTCCGATCGCCATCAACGAGCGACGGATTCTTAACGTCGTCAGTAATGCTCGAGAAATTGAATTGGCGATGTTCGAGTTAGCTAACGATCGAGTGAGTTACGAAAGTGGCACATCTTTTTTGGCTTACCGTTAAGCTGCATTGACATCTGAATAACCAATATTAGAAAGAATAGTGCCGGACTATACTCCAAACGGTTTACCGCCTCATCGTGACAGGGAGGTGTTCCTGTTTGTCGGACTGCGATGTACAGCTGTGGGATTCGTCCCCCGGCAGGGTCTCCCAAGCTGAGAAGGAGTCCGGCGTTTCCATCAGGAAGCCTAGCTAAGAGTAAACGAATACCAGGATCCGCCACCGTTCTGGTGTCAGAGTTACATGGTGGCGAATCTCCCTCTGATCCACAAGGGCTGCGACTGCCCGTGGTGGTGAGGACCTGGGGCAGACTTTGGCCAGGCTGAACTCCGGATTCCAGGAACCACAATGGCTTAGCCAGCAATTCTCCAAAAGTGGAAATTTTGCTGGCGCCCCTCACAAACAGTGAGGACTGGCTATTCAAGTGTCAAGTTCCGGTCTCAGCAGGCTTTTTATTTATTTCTCCGTTAAAAATTTCTTATTTATCAACATTTTTCGGCGTCAACTCGAAGCAGGTGTGCAACGAGGTTTCCAGATATTCACTACAGGCATTAGTCCTTTCTTGTGTATTGGAGATTTTGCAAATTCTGACATTGCATGATCACGTGCACCCACTGTACACCGAAGGTCGGCAAAGAGTTCCTGATGAGCTGATGGACCATTACAGAGGATCAGATTGTTGGAATTGGAGAAGTGGTTCTTTGTTGTTCAAAAATTGAAGCAGCTATGTACCGAAAATGGTGTTGGGAATACATCTCTTAGTGGAAAAGCTCTGTCGTGTCCAACGTTTTCCACAATGTGTAGATTACTGGCGTAAAGCATTCGTTTTGCAACAATTTTACTATTTCATCAGCCATTCTAGGACACTTTTATCTCTTCGAATTGTAGCTCTCTTATTGTTACAGGACTAGTACTACCACTTGTTTGTCCAGAACATATACCGGACTCAAAAGGACCGTCAAGCCAATGGGAATCTGCAACATCGAGCTGATGGAGGCGCTGAGGCCACTGCCGGTGGTAGTGGAGCTAAACACACACTTCTGTTGAAACATGCGCATACGACTCGGCCACAGCGGAATTGGAGTAGCAGTTTTTCAGAATGTAAGGGTTCTTGAGATTTGATTGTTTTCTATTCAGATCTATGATTAAGCCGGTCGTGTGCGGGTCAACATGAAGATTTCTTCATTGAATTAGGTTTTAAAATATTCTTATAAATTGCGTAGCATGATCAGTCTCAGTCGAGGACCGGTTTTCGTATTCTTGACTTATAAGTGTTTTACAATGTTCCATCATTATCACCTACATATATGTATAAGTACATACATGTGTAGAAATATATACGTACATGTAATATATATATATATATATATATGCATACATATACATCTACATGTATATGTGGTTTGTTATTTTTTTCACGTGAAGAGGATTATTTCGCGATCGCTTCAATATCCGATTTAGACACGGATGTGCCGAATGCATTGAGTCGAAGTGTGCGTTCAACTCCTCTCCGTGTTGACATTCAGGATGCTTATATTCAACAACCACTACCTGCTCATTGACCACAACCCTTACGTCAAAAACGGAACGCAGTGTGACCTGTACAGCGATCAGTGAAGGCGGTCGAGTGTTGGCGACGGCATCGGTGCGTCTGCGACTAATCCACAAATGCTAGGGCGATTCAGTGGACAGCAGTGGAACAGTAATCATGGATTAGTGGTTGGAATACTACTGATGAATGTGACGACATCTTATTTTTTCAGGGTACGGGCTGTCAACTGATTTCACCTCAGTCGACCTGTTTCAGTGGAGAACGGTTCACTTCGTGCTCTGACTACCAGTTGAAGTAAAAAGCTTTATAATTTTGCATTTTCAGATAGGAAAGCAGAACTTTCCTTCATTTCGCCAAGGTGAGATTACCATTTTTCGTGGACCAAAATTGATTTTTTCGCTTTTTTCGTGTGAGACAGCAGAGAGATTGAAAAGAACGATTTCGACAAACAAGATAAGATATTGGTCCGAATTGCGTGTTCATTGTGAGACCTTTCGTTTAAAATTCTCCATAACGAATTCTATAAGAGCAACTTGATAAATGGGCATAGAGTACTAGACCTTTGTCTTCTGTGCAATTTTGTGATGTTCTCATCTGACGGTTATAACGAACCTAGTACTCTCGTGAATTTGTTGGTGAACTGAATAAGTAGTGTATATGGAAGATTTTCGTGACAGTTTATATAGAGAAATTTTTTTTCTTTAGTTTTTGCAGTCATCTGACGATTATGGTGTCTCATACAAGCCACTGTGAGGTTTAGTGCCTTTTTCTCGATATTTGTCTTTGAATTTTAAGTCAAAACGGGAGCAATGGCCACCGTCGACCTTAGTGCTCTAATTTCCTACTCTACAGGTGTCTCATGTGCGAACGGCCTTCTTTGGATTCTAGTTAAATCGGATTCTGAGACGAAATTTGGAAAAGAGCGCTTCGGTTAGATCTGTGGTAGAATAGTGTTTGGAAAATGCACCTACTTTTATTTTTTAGCAGCCTCTGGACCATTAATTGGGTGCCCGCCTCTGCATCGAATTGCTCAGGAAAGGTAGAAGCATCGGATTCCACTTCATCGCTAAAAAAAATTTTCAAAAGGGATTTTACCCCTCCATCTGGAAAAGACACCATTTTTGACGTAAGTGGGTTGGGGTAGATGGCTTTTCTCTCTTATTCTTCCTTTTTCTTTGAAAGTAGGAGACGTGCAAACTTTTGTTTCTCATTTCAATAGTATTTTGTTAGAGTATTATTTGCGAGCGAAAGCTTTTTTTTTCTGCTGCATAACAGATCGCTCAGAGAATATGAATTGGACCAAAGAGGCGGTTCCATTCCGTGTGCCTGTTGATCCCGATTTACTGGATAGATATTCCCGTAAGTTGTCGTAGACATGGCGATGGTGTTGACGACATTAGTACACTGGTGTTTATTGTGAAACATGGGAAGCACTTATGCCAATTGTGGTTCTAGTAATCAGTGTGTCGGTGCTATTTTTTACTCTTCCGATGGGTTGCTCACTTCTAGTCTTTAAGATTACGAACAACGCTACTCTCTCGCTTAGGAATTGTAAGTTGGTATTGTTGGGCAGAATGTTTCTTTTCAGAATTGTAACGATATAAGAAAGAATCCGATGGATCTTCCGAATATATCTGTCAGGATGGATAGTGTGCGGTACAAGGAAATGGCATAGAATATGTGCACTACGCAGTAAAAAGGTCCGTGAAATTTTGGAAGCCATCGTTCAAGCGTTTTGTGGAAAGTGCAGTGAGTTCTTCAGGTGGTTGAGTTATTATTTTGCGTTTCTACTGCATAACAGATCGCTAGGAGGACTGTTGAATCAAAATGTGATCCCGGAGTTTTAGATCCGTTTGTTGATCGGTGGCTTCTTTGAGTGGAAGGAATGCTGCCCATGCTGCTCTGCTTCCTCTAGTTCTTTAACGTTTTTTCTCCATGTTTATTGAACGTCTATTTTACACATGCGAAATAGTTTTTATAACTATGGCAATCCTGTTCGATTTGTTTACCTTCTTGCCGTGGGTTCATCATAAAGTGGGCTTTCATGCGATGTATGCGTAGTCCGATCTTTTCGCTCGTTTCGTTGAGCTCATTGAGCATCGTCTCTGCTTCGTTGATGTTTCATGAGAATATGACGATGTCATCCGCGAAACGAAGATTTGGTAGGAATTTTCAATCACTACGTATGCCTTTCTCATCCCAGTGGAGTGGCTTCATTATCCACTGCAGTGCAGCACTAAACAACATTGGCAATACTGTGTCGTCTTCTCGAACCCCTTTTATTACGTGTATGGTGATGGATTGATGAAAAAGCTGTACATGTGTACTGCAGTGCCCATAACAGTCAGCTATTGTTCGCATATACGAAGGGTTCACTCCTTGATCGACGAGCGCAGATAGGATTGCATTCGTTTCGACACTGTCAAACGCTTCCTCGCAATCGATAAGGTTTAGAAGAACAGGTAAGTGGTACTCGCACTAGACTTCTGTGACCCATGTTATGGTTTGGACGTGGTGCACATAGCAGAATACCTCTCGTTATCGTGCTTGCTCAACTGGTTGTCTCATCCAAGGTCTTCGATATGCCCAAAAGGATAATCTTTGTGAACAGTTTGTGGAATACACGACGCAAACATATTTCAGGGTGGCTGCGAAGATCCCTTCGGTCACCCTAATGATGTGTAATTACAGTGCACGAGATCCTTCACTGATCTGGAATCTTTTCTTTCTGAATGTAAGATGTCATATGGGTTGCCAGAAGTATACGTAGTTTGTGACGACGAGCTCTAGTAAAATCAGCGGTGATACTACTGCGCAACTCGAACTTCAAACGGTAGAATCCGGGGTGGTTTTTCACAAGGAAGAATTTCGTCATCTGAAATGAGAATTGTGAAGCAGAGAAAATTTGTATAGAACTTTTTCGTTATCAATTCCATATAACAGTGGGATGTAGTGATAGTCCCATGTTCGTTCACCAGGGCTGATAGCAGAACTGTCGAACATAATCACAGTTTTTAAATTATTATTTACTGCTTCCTCTTTTTAATGGCAGGGCATATTACGAAGTATAACTTCAATGTTGCTGAGATATTTGCAAAACTCCGGACCGCAGGTGTCCGCGGTGGGGAACTAGCGCGCTATTGTCCTTTCCGGAGAGTAACGTGTTCACCACCACACCATGCGGGTCCTTCGTTTCGCTTGTCGCTCGGCTAGTTCTATCGACATTTTGCCATCAGCAATCATCCATCGGCGGGATTGATCTGTGAAGCCGAAATCGGCAACGAATCCAGTTAAGCTGAAGCTGCAGTTGTCATTACATATATCGGATATAATCGCAGATCCCAACAACATTTCTTCAGGCTTGATCGTTTTTAGGTGCGTCTAACAACTTATTTTACCTATACAGATGTAAATGACCCTGCAAAGTTCTGCAGCGGACATTTATAACTAGCCATGTTAACTTTCTTGCAGTAAGATCATGCTTTAGTGTCCTTTTTCCTTGTAAAAGGCTCCCATGTCCATCGTCGATATTCTGTGCTCGAGAAATGAATTCCCGTGGGAAATATATACTGTATAGGTGTCCTACAGGACTGTTTCCATTCTCATTTCGTTCTTCTATTGCAAATTTTCCTATCCTATTCTCATTTTCGTTGGCCGTTCCTATTCTGAAGCTGATGTCTCCACAAAGAATTTTAAGCTCTTCTCGCTGCGTGTTGCTTCCTGCAAATGATGGTATAATGCGTTTAGTGCGCAGTCATGAGTTGGACAAGTTGCTGGTCAGCATGGAAACGAAGAATGGCCAAGCGCTGTGAAAGGGCTTCGTATGAGGTGACCATAGAGCCAAATAGAGGAGTGCACGTCAAAATTAACGATTTCGACCTATCCTAAAGCAAATTTTCTTTCGTAAATGACATTGGTTCCGTCGTCTAATTGGCCTATGTTGGTCCTCCTCTGTTTCTTCTCTTTTAGGACGATCACATGGAATTTGGTGCCTGTCGGAAGGAGAAACTCCCCCGGAAATCAGAAAATGGTTTCATGGCAAAGGGATTGCTACATAACAGATTATCGTGGTACTTGGAAGATCGGGTATTGGTTAGCTCTGTTTTCTCCGCTCTTACCGGGTAATTAGCATTTCCAGAGTGGGATATTAGGCTTAAATGTGGACTTTTTTGTTACCTATATCGTTGTCATTTGCATTTAAATAGCTGGAAAGTGTCGGTTTGTATGTTTCGCTAGGGTTTGAAGTGGAATTTAGAAGTGCGAAGTGGAATTGTTTCGATTACGCTTGAAGCGTGGTTTAGAAATGCAACGTTTTTGAGACCTGTATAATAGATTTGGAGTTTTTTCTTCTGTGATGATACAAGCAAGATCCATACAAAAAAGGCCCATTTGGAGAAGCTGTAATTCGGGTCGTTTAGTAAGCTGGAATATATTCTAAAATCGTTTCAAAGCAACCTGACTTGTGTACTTTATGTTTCAGATGTACACATTCCTTAAGAATGGATTGCCAAATAGTCCTAGTCGGCATGAGGTGATAATTCGAACGTTATGCATTTAGCATAGGGAGTTGGAAGTGAAGTCATTGATGAAAGCGAAGTGAGTCGCTGAGTTGTTCTTTTTTGATGATCTTCTATCCGTATTTTCGAAATTGTTGATACTTTTTAAACGTGAAACTATTAGTATGTTCATTAAATTTACCAACTAGTTTTCAACTCTTAACATTTAGGTATGGTCCACAGGTATTTCTGGACCGTTTCTGATACGGAATGGGCTTTTTTATTTCATCTGAGGATATAATTGGCGCAGAAGTGTGCTTTTTCGGTATTTATGTTCAAGAGTACGGAATTAACTATAACGAGCCAAACGCAAGGTAGGTCGCTGCATATCGACGTACAATACATACTTGTGCAATGAGTTGGAACAAAATAAGACGAACATTAAGGATTAAGGATTAAATTTAAGGGAACTGCTTACTTAAAACGGTAGTTGTTTCAGGCATGCTTACATATATTATTTGGACTTTGAGGATTTCTTCTAACCAAGAGAACTCAGAGCCGATGTACATCACGAAATCTCGCTAGGATATCTTCAGTGAGTTTTTATCGAAAATTTTCTTTTTTTGCCATAGGTTTGGGCAACGAATTCATAAATATCGAAGGTGTTTAGTACCTTTAACTATGCGGAACGCCTTGGCCACCCTATATCACGTATTTATTCATGTCCACTATTTGACGGTTGTGATTATGTCTTTCACTGCCACCCAATTCAGGAGAAGATCCCGAAACCGAAAAGATTGCGAATAATTCACAAGGCCTATTGCAATTCTTTTCTCAAACAGCAAGTTCTGCAATTACTCAAATCATTATTTTTAAGGGCTAGTTTAAAAGAAGTATTACAAAACGCTATAGCTGAGAAAGCGACCGTCGAGTTCAAGTGGATTTACAGGCAAATGATCTTAAATTACAGTTTGAATGGAGATATGTTAACGTTACCGTTTTCGTTCTGAGATCCTTTTGAAGCACGTGATGTCAACTTTACCACACCGATTAGCTCACCATATTTTTAAGGCGATTTCTGGCCATATTTAATCGAAGGCTGTACACGTTTTGTTTAGTGTTGTGTGATTGGAGGAAGTCTCTTCATGCTTCCGAATGTTGATATTGTACTGCTAGTAAGGCTGATAATGCGTAAGCTCAAAGGCGTAAAGAAGATGCTGAAGTAGACGAAGAAGATGGTGGCATGTTACAGTCGGGTAACAATAGAAGGAAAAGGAAATGCACACAATGGTAATGCTTTGGTTATTCTTTTTCACTTCCTAGTTTTTGTTTAAATGTCGGAGCGCGTATTCTAGTTGTAGTAATACGTTGTTGATGAGTGGTGATTTAGAGGGAACTAAAAATAGTGTGAGAGTAGAGATGTTATTTTTTTAAAATTTTCTTTTGCAGGTCAAGAAACAAGGAGGAAAACCTGGAGAAGAACTCAGGTGTGAATAAAAAGAAACAAGGGAGATGCTTGTAATGAGGCGGTCGCTAAGCTGTATTCGTAGTTTTGTAAGCGTGAAGAGGTTTGTGTTAACTTATCAATATACGTCGTAAGTCTCTGATATTCAGCTTTTGTGATGCTAAGACTTTGTGCAAAGATTATTCATTTCGATTTATTGCAAATTTGCTTCATCTTTAAGAATAACAGTTCCTTCATAATTTGTAAGACCGGTTTTTGATTAACCTTGGTATTTATGAACTTCAATTTCTGAGCTGACAAAAGGCTGTTAGCACGTTTTTTTGTATCAGTTCTTTTGGCGTTTCCGCTCTTCAGCGCCTGCACGTATTTTTGTTTAACTCCGTTTTCATTATCCAGTGAATATTCTGTAGTCTTAATGAAAGCCTAGTGAATGATTTTCAAACGAAACCAAGTAATGTGTCTGTTAAGAAACATCGACTTTTTTCGTTTTCAAAGAGGAATATGGACCTTCGTATACTGTTCTTGCATAAAGCCTAGTGCTCTTTAGGTGTTCTTCACTATTCGGCTTGTCCCACAACAGTTTGATTTTTTACTGCCCGATATCGTTGGTGCGGATCCATTTATGGCTTCAGAAATGATGGAAGACCGGAACACGTTTTTGACAAGAGTACGTGATGACCAGTGGGAGTTAAGCTCATTGAGGAAAGCAAAGTAAGTGGTGATCAAGAAAACAAAATATTTGGGCTTGCTGTGTGAGTACTTTTGATAACGTTATCGTTTCTGAAGACGGACGTTAAAAGCGTTTGAGTTACGAGCAGTGCTGCTGCTTAAAACGAGCTATTAGCTTGATTTGGAATGCATCGAGGAACAGTGTTCTTGAGAATTCATACACCAGCACCAACTAATATTTCAGAATATTCCGTTCTTGCTATCAAATGCATAAAGCGGTTTAAAAGAGTGCTTCTAAATGTGCTTTTTCTTCGAAAATTTTCCTCTGACATGTTTTCTTTGTCGAATTTTCTGAAATCATACTTTAACAAGACGTGACATCTATCGAGATCCTACAAGTGTGATTGCTTTTTTCGGTGAAATCTTTTGCCTTTTGAAAAGATTGTTTATTTCTTGTTTTCTGTTCAGATTCTCAACTCTAGCATTATGTTTTGCATTGAACGACTCGGATGGAAACAAGATATGAGTTATACATGTAACAAATGCAACGGTTTCAATGTGAAATGGCAATGTACAACGTGTGATGTAAGTTAGTCACCAGAGCTTTTTTCAGTTAGAGTTTCGTAAAGCGGTAACCACGAAATGGGAGCTAGGGCGGACAGAAATAATCAGCAAACGAGGTAACATTACCTCTATTTGTTCTGTTTTTCTTACTTATTGTTTCATTTTGCCGCAGGATATTGATCTATGTGAGGGGGTCGTGAACCCACCTCTCGTGAGCATCCAATGGAATAAATTAAACTGGTTATCTATGCCGAGATTGGTGATTCCAGTGGGGACAACCGTTCTGGAAAAGTCCAGGTTGCTCACGGACTTTACAAGTTTTCTTTTTTCCTTATACTCATTCTTGATGGGTGTAATTTCTCGCATGTTCAGAGTTGTGTTCTGTCTTTGATGCACGCATGCCAATGGAGAGACGCAAACTGCCGTCGTGCGCCTTCTCACAAAATGAAACGTGTTATGCAATACGCAAAGATAAGCACGGAACATGTGGATGATTGTGTATTTTGCAAACAGCTGGTGTTATTCTCTTACTATCATAGGCAACTTTGCACGCGGGATTCTTGCTTGGTAGGGATTTGTAGGGTTGCTGCACGCGAGCCTCACTATTCGAATGGTTTGGTTTCTTTAGATGCCGTTTTCTATGGCTATTCAGTGAAAGCTAGCAAAGCAGAAACGCTCTATTGATTGACATGCAGACATGCCAACGTATCGATGGCTTGCAGGTAGTTGCAGAAGATGAGAACATCATTAGTTACGCCTAGGTCCTGCGACGATGGCTTTGGAACATCGCGTGAAGCTTACCTATTCGTTTTAGCCTTACATTAAGTGCAGATTGTTTTTACGCGGTTTGAAGAAGTTCGAAAGGTTTGGAGAAGATATATGACGTATGATAACGTTTTCTTAGTGATTAGACATAGATGTGGGATGTACTATAATCGTATGAACCTTGCTAAATGTTTGGTTTATCCGTATTCGAGAAGTAGGTTGGCAACACATTTTACTAAACGATATATCAAATTCACCTTAAAGCTCTATGTCTGGGTGTGTACTGCGTAACCAGTAGTTTCGCAGAGAACTCCCATTGGATGTCACTCTCTTCGCATGTTAAATGAATCTACTACATAGTTTTTGCATAGGATGGTAGACAAACTCCTCTGTCAGATGAATAACCATATGATCCATGATTTGATTAGAATTATCAGCGTTTATCCAAAATATCTTTTCAAAACTTAGTGATCTCATATTTTTAGCTATTATGCTAGTTTGGTAGCGCATGGGTAGTGTGCTGAGTCGTGGGCTTAGTATAGAATGGAGTATTGTTAAAACTAAAAAGTGAATGCCGTAATATTCTTTGTTCAACTTACGCAACTTCATTAAATGCTGGCAGCACTATAATTGGATGGTAGGCACTTTCACTACATATATTACTTAAATATGTTTCAAGAACATGGAGGCATAAGTAGAAGATCATATTGGGCACATAGAAGTTGTCGAGACGTGGAAAATGTGTGTTAGAATCCAGCAATAGAACGATAGTATCGAGAAAGCTGTACTCCACACCTGTTACGCGGGTCTGCAAACAGTACCTGTTCACCTTCAATGCGCTTCGTTAACATGCACTCCGAAGAGCCTGACACGCGAATGTGACCACGGTCGTGAAAGGGTTGAGTCTGACGCTTTACACTAAAGCGGTTGTATAGATAACGTCATAGTCTATTCACTAGTTCTGTGTTAGACAGCAGTTCTTTTATTAATATGAACTATAAAACTACTTCCTGTATAGAAGTGTTTTCTTCTCTCCAAATGAGCAAAAATTGAACCTATACGTCACACGAGTTTTTGGTCGGTTGCGGACATTTTGGCTTTATGGCAATAAAAATTTTCACGGCAGGATTGTATGCGAGAATTTGGCTTATCGCTCTACGACTACGAATGGTATGCGTGCTACTATTATCTACGTCTTATTATGGTCTACCATCCAAATGCATTGCTGTAAGCACTTGGAAGTGTGTTGCACACTATTTTGCATCTATTTTGGCGTTATGTAACAGTTGGTTTTTAGTCAGATTACAGCTTGATGAACTCTTGCGAAAAAGTGTTTTTGTAACCTGCATTCTCCATAATGGCGGGAGATAGTTGGTCATTAAAAGTGGGTTCAGGAATGAATGGTTCAAAATCCAATTATTACGGTGTCACATCACCGCTGAGTTCAATTGGAGAACCAAGCGGTCAATTCACTCCTATAGTGCTATTAGCAACAGCAACATCTTAAGCAGCATCAACAACGGAGCCATCCACTCACTATTTCTGAGCAACAATTCGGGTTTGGTCAGGTATGCTTCCGAAATTCTTGCGTCCTGAGACTCGTTTTTGCGCTCACCTAGCTTCTAGTACCCACAGTAGGAAATTGTTGGAGGTGGGTTTCTTTTTTGCCATGTAATGAACAAGTGCATAGTTATAGGGTCGATCGCCAACCATGGACATGAGTTCCTTTCAGTTTTGCCACAGCAGCAATCCGGGTAACCAGATCAAGGACTGTAATTCCGTTCCGGCGACAGGATTGTTCCTAAGCAGTAGCAGCACCAATGAAATATATATACCCCAAGTTTCTATTACATAAGAGTACGTGTTCCTTTTCGAACTTGTTGTCAATATTATTTCAGTGATTGTTAATAGTTATTCTCTTTTTGTAATCGATAAACGATTAAAGCAAGTGCATTAAGTGCAATGATCTACTTTTGACGCACAAAGTATCCTTTAGGTGATCTTAAAAGGAAAGGAACTAAAAGGTATAAGACGAATTAACCTCTGCTGAATATAGTTGATATGTTAGAAATTATTCTGTTGTTTGGAAAATAAGTTCGTTTGTTCAACAGCAACTTCAAATACGCATGTATCAGCACCTATCAATCCTCTAAACGAACACCCTTAGTGTCAACACATCTAAGGCCATAGAATGAAATTCTATTGCGAAATCACAATAAAACTCTAGGCTACCTGAATCCGGAATCCGTAATCCTTGTGAATGCGTAGGGTTTTGTGATTTTTTCTCCTTGCGTTGGGGATCTTAAAAATTTTAAATTTGCGCTCTTTTTCAGGATTTTTAGTTCTAAACATGTCTAACAATGAATAAATATTTTATAAAGATTTTACCTAAGTATAAGGAGCAAAGTCTGAATTCATGAAGTTCGCAACTTCTCAAAGACTCTACGGATCGGGAAATTACTGTCAGTTGTTGAGAAAACCGCTTCAGAGGTCATGTTTTTAAAATATGCTCAACAATTGTTCCTTTATGACGGATAGATTCCGGTCGAATAAACTGCAGTTGTTGCTGCATTTTGCTAACTTCTTGACGGCAATCATCGACGGTAGTTACTTTGTCAACATTCGAGTTTTAGTGGATGGTTCTACCGGCCAGGCACAAAGGAATCTTCATAATCTTATTTTGATATAAAATTTCCATTGGAAAATGTCTTAGTGATTATGTACTCTAAAAGTTTTCAGGTATCGTTTATTTCCTTTCTAATACAATAACCAAAATTCAAAATGAAATGTTAATGAAACAAAATGGAAAGGGAAGGAAAAAACGTCGGTATAGAAATACAGAGTGAAATCAGTTGCATTGATTTTAAGCACTACACACTCTTAATGGCGTGTACCTATCCTTTATTAGTTATGTAGTCTGCCTTTTTGATGAGGATGAATATCGTTAATAATTATGGGAATCGTCTAACATAACAGGTCCCCCATGTACTAATGGGCATAAATATGTGTACACTCTGAACTTCCCTGGTGTGGTCTTCTCGTTGCAAATCGGAGCATCGCCCTTTTGATGCTTAATTTCAGCAGACTACATGGAAGAAACAAAACTATCATAGCCTAATATAGAAATGGCTAATGGCTTATTCCCCTAAATTTTAAGGAAGCATTGTCAACTTGGTGGAACATGGAGACGGTCGTACGAACGAATGCAGTCGATTGTAAAACGTAGGAGATTGTTTTATGGCAGAAAAGCAGAAAAGGTGCCTATTCCTATAAGACAACGCATCACTAGTTGAATTGAGTGACAACTGGCAATTTTCTTCAATGTTGCACCTCACAAAATTGAAGGGATCAGCTAGCAGGACTCTCATCGGTTCTTAAGCGCCGTCATTGGGTCACTGCTCGTGTTTACGTGTTGTTATCGTCAACCGAACGAAATCAAAGCATAGCAGCGCATTTGGCTGCTCTTTACGTGATACATGATTTTCGCGCGAAACTGCCGCGTTCTTTGACAAGTGGAGCTGTTATATCCGAAATACATAGCTTAGTGGCAGATTTCTAGCAAATAAGTGGCGCCACTAAACCATTCACAGTGCCTTTTTCCAGCTGAATATGTTAGCACTGACATCCACGAAATCAACGACGTACTGATGAGATGGACGGAAGGACGGAAGTGACACGTGGTTTTTGTTTCATTTATGTTTACATGACCTGACATCACATGTGCTACTCCTAGCACCTCTTCCATTTGAACCGTTTTCCTTCACTCAGCATTCACGAATACTTTCAGATTTGCGGGAGTGTTCAGTCGCTGCTCACAGATTTCTGCAATGTGGCCAATATGTAGTGATTCTGAGATATCTGCAAATCTCTGGATTGCAGGAGTCTGCAATGGGGTTGAACATGCTATTACCCTTTCTGGGGTCGGCCCCGTTGACGGATGATTTCTGATGGAACTGGTAGATAGAAAACTAGCAGAGTGAAAGGTGAAGCTAAAGAACCGCACGTGTGGTGGTTACCGCGTTAGCTCAAGGATGGATAATAGAATGTTCGATCACCACCGCAGACACCTGCGGTCCGGAGTATTGCAAATATCTCAGCATCACCATGTTGTATCTCACGTAATAGCCTGCCGTGAAAATTGTAGATGACACTGGATGAAAACTCACTCTAGAGAATCGGTTTTTGGAAAAGAACTGTTGGATCAAATTTGACACTATGACGTAGCAGTCATTTGCATGGGAATTCCATATAAAGGCGGCGATATCGAGAACTGATGAGGTATTAGGAGTGACGGAGTAACTACATACTTTACCATAAAATCTGTTGCGCAGTGATGGGAAGCGCTAACAGAACTATTCGATCGGTCTCTGAACCCACATCCACCAAGCCTTCCATCCCTCTGGGGTCTGCAAATTGTTACCAGACGTGTCTGGGAGGACAGCCGCACTGTTTGGATACATAGGTAGGCCATCATCAATCACCTCCAAACAGTGCTTAATGTAGTCGAATGCATGGCACATGCCTCAGAGATTGATCAACGTCGACAGTTTTATCCTTTATTTTAACCTTTAGCATAATAGCTAATATTTACATAACAGCTTTGAATTCTAGCGGACGTCAAAAGTATTTACCATTATTTTTTGGCAGAACGTCGAAGTGATATCGTAGCAAGGTAATACATTAATTACTTTCACATTTGTCAGTAGCGGAAATTGACATTTTTCAGATT